TGAGCAAGGTCATAACAAAATGGTATAATATAGCATAGGGTATCTATGTAACACATCTATGGAACAGCTGCTTAAAATGATACGCATGGGAAATGTTTAGGAAATTTATGAAAATAATTCAAAGATAGGCATGTCTAGACATGTCAATCAATGTATAAAGCCTAGACTTCAAGAATAGAAACTTAAAATATGTACATAGAGCAAGTAGAAAACTATCTCCAATTTTTTTACAATTTACAACAGCTCAATAAAAAATACAGGGTATCCGAAGTTCAATCACATACGTCTAGAGCACACTTTGTCACTGTTTTTTTTTTTCTGTTTTATTACGTTAGAGCCCTCGCGTTAGTTGAATCGATGCGACGCTGACCTTTCCCTCAATTAAAGGCAAGCTCACAAATACAACGCACAGTGCTGTGCAGCAGTAATGCGACCAGCTGCTGCTGCTTCTGCTGCTGCTGCTATTCAACGGACTGTGCTGTGCTGTGCTGTCGACGCTTTGGCTCATTAGACAGCACTACCAGCAGCCGTCGCTTTCATAATTTATTGGTACCTACGGCTGAATCTAATTTCTGGGATTTGCAACAGAGCAAATATGTTAAATACGAGCTGGGAAGCTGGAAGCTGGAAGCTGGAAACTGGAATGGAAGGGAGACGTCTCAGTCGCTACGCAGTTGTTGCTGGGCGAGATAATGGACAAAACCAGCGCTAAGTGCGGCCACAAAAGCCAAGCAATTAACAAGGCGTTTGGTTTAGGAGCTTTACCATTGGCTTGGCCACTCGACAATCCTGGCCAACGAGAACAGCCGCAGCCAAATGGCCAAAGGACGTTCGAGCGGGGCGGCAAAGGCTAACCGGAAATGCACGCAACTCCAGCTGAAGCTGCTGTTGACAAGGCTCTAAAGCATTGGACTGCAACCAAAGACGGCTCGCAGTCAGCAAGTCAGCAACAGACCGCAACTGGGACAGAGCGAGAGAGAGGAGGAGAGGCAGGAAGCGTGGGCCACGCGGCTGGCAGCGGGACTTGGGTGTAATATGCGTAATTAAACAAAACCGCAAGTGGGGCAGTTGCACAACAAGCGGCAAGCAACGCGCAGCAGAACTGAAAAAGTAAAAAAAAAAAAACTATGTGCATATAAAGGATACCACAAACGACACAACAAACACAAGACTACAAGAAGCGCAACTGAATAATTTGTGGAGCTCCACTAAGGCGCTCTCCCTATGCTCTTCATTTTTAGTATATGCACCATACTCTATACATATGTATATTAAAAATAAATATATAAAATATTTACACAAAACAACTTTGTATTTATCTCCTA